GAGAGATCGGCGGTAGATCCGCTTGTTTTAACCGGAGCCTGAAGAGAAGAGGTTCAAGGTGCGTAAAAGCGAATGAAAAGAAGTCTGCGCTCCGATGACAGCGCTAGCGAGCGCTGATGTCATGAGCACATTTGTTTGGGCTAAGGAAAGGGAAGAAGGACAACAACAACAACAGCAGCAACAACAATAATAATACAGTTGGAAGGGACCTTGGAGGTCATCTAGTCCAACCCCTTGCTCAGGCAGGAAACCCTATACCATTTCAGACAAATGGCTGTCCAGTCTCTTCTTAAAAACTTCCAGTGTTGGAGCATTCACCGCTTCTGGAGGCAGGTTGTTCCACTGGCTAATTGTTCTAACTGTCAGGAAGTTTCTCCTTAGTTCTAGGCTGCTTCTCTCCTTGCTTAGTTTCCACCCGTTGCTTCTTGTCCTGCCTTCAGGCGCCTTGGAAAATAGCTTGATTCCCTCTTCTCTGTGGCAGCCCCTGAGATATTGGAACACTGCTATCATGTCCCCACTCGTCCTTCTTTTCATTAAGCTAGACATACCCAATTCCAGCAGCCGTTCCTTATATGCTTTAGCCTCCAGTCCCCTAATCATCTTTGTTGCTCTTCTCTGTACTCTTTCTAGAGTCTCAACATCTTTTGTTGCACGATTTCCAGAGAAGGGGCAAACCTTAAGAAGCTTCCTGACTTCTTATGGCTAATCTTCCTGGAAATAAAATAGAACGGAACAGAATGGAAGAAAAGGAAATAAACCAAGAAAAAACCAGTACTCATTACAGAATGAGCATGGAGTTACTGTCGTTTCAGCTCCCAAGGTGGGGAAATGAAGAACGTGGTTACTCCTGTAGATATATTTTCTGTGTCGTAGATTTTTATCCTTTTTCTACCTCTGCCTTTCTAATAGGACTCGGGGGATTCTAGGTATCTCAGGTATTTCCATAAAGTGCTAGAAAACTAAAAATCCTTTCTGATGCTTCAGAAAGCCATAAAAGTCTAAAGCAATTGTGGCCCCTTTATGACCTGTGGAATTCCTGAGCCAGCCATGCTGGGAATTCTGGGAGTTGAAGTCCACAGGTCTTGAAGGGGCCATAGTTACCCACCTCTGCTCTATTCACCCAGCACAGGTTCTGGGTTCTGGGTTCTGGCCTTAGACACCACATTGAAGTATAAACCCACAAATGGACTTGCGCAACCAAGTTGCAAAAACAGTCAAGCAAACCAACCAACAGAAACGACGTTTAGTATTAATGTTACCATTTGGTGTGAATGCAGCTTCTAGCTCTGGCTGGCTGAGGAATTCTGGGAGTTGAAGTCCACAAGTCTTAAAGCTGCCAAGTTTGAAGACCCCTGTTCTAGGCTTTTAACTGATACAGCTAAGAATTCTATGTGAGCAGAGTGAGCAATAATGGGCCAAACTTGACCTGTGGTCTAAAATTTGGAGTTACCCAATAAAGCTGCAAAATTTTGGACTGTCACTAGATGACAGCAAAGCCAGTGGCAGTTATATCTCTCTGCTGCCTCTTTGTGGTCATCCAGATCTTTCTTTTCCTTATCAAACAATCCTAGACATAATTCAGCTTTGAATATTCATGTGCATCCAGTTGGATAGTCTGCTTTCGATTTATGAGCATTCATTTAATGATTTAATGTTCAAGATGACAATGGCCTTCAAAAAAGTGACTTACGATCCACCTTCGGAGTTAGAATCAATGCACCACCCCCAGAGTCATGTGATCTCACTTCAGACACCTGGCAACTGGCTTGCATTTACAACAGTGGCAGCATCTTACTGTCATGTAATCACGTTCCCCAGATGGTTTCTTTCAAGCAAAGTTAATTGGGGAAGCTGGATTTGTTAAAAAACCCTGTAATTCATTTAATGGCAGAGGTAGAAATCATGGTAAAATTGGATTTAGACACATGATGACCTGCTTTTGGATCACTTAGCAACTGATATTCCACTCCCAATAGTAGTGGTCTTAAGTCAAAGGCTACCTGTAATAGTTAACACACCCAGCAAGAAAATGGGAAACTGTGAGTTCTAGTCCTGCCTTAGGTACAAAGCCAATTGGGTGATCTTGGACCATTCACTTTCTCTCAGTCTAGGAAGAAGGCAAGAACAAGCCACTTCCAGAAATCTTGTCAAGAAAACTCCATGTATTCATGAGGAGTCAAGTCTAACTCAAAGGCATTTACAACACAAAAAGTGTCCTAGGAGGAATAAGGGTGCACATTGAAGATTCAGGCCCATGTTCCTCTAGAGCAGGGGTTCTCAACCTTGGCAACTTTAAGACTTGTGGACTTTAACTCCCAGAATTCCTCAGCCAGTTTTGCTGAGGAATTCTGGGAGTTGAAGTCCACAAGTCTTAAAGTTGCCAAGGTTGAGAACCCCTGCTCTAGAGCAATCCAAGGAAACAGCCAGTCAAGTGCTCTGAGGTGCTTTTGGTGAACATTCACATCATATCTTACAGAGAGGCCACAGCACCTTCAGCTCCTTCTCCCCACTGCATGGCCTGGCATGACCATGTCAGTAAGGGGGGAAGCCGGGATAGTTTTATTTTGGATGCTGTTGTCTACTTTCCTGACTTAAGTCTCCCAGATGGGCATCTGAATCCAGGTTGCAGAGCTCACTCAAGCTGGAAGAAGGAACCAAATCATTTTAGTGCCAATTTCAACCTTTCAGATGTACTTCTGACAGGAAAGAAAAAAACATGAAGAAGAGCTTGGCTCAAGTGACCAGAACTAAATAGTTGCTCCATTCTAATCTCATGAAGACTGTCATTAACAAGCAAGAAGTATAATTATAGCTTGTGTTTTGCCATTGGGGGGGGGACAGAGACAATAAGTGACCAGAAACATCTCCCCTCCCAATATTACATCTTTTCCACATTCTTCCAAAGCAGTGATTCTCAACCTTTTTAATGCCGCGACCCCCAACTGGTCGTAAGTCAAGGACTACTCAACTGGTGCAGCACCATTTGCAGAATGGGACTTTTGGCGGGCTCAGCAGGGCAGAGACAGCCTGGACAATTCCTATTGGCTTTTGAAAGCCAATAGAATTAGACTCTATTCAAGAGAGTCTATTCTATTGGCTTTCAAAAGCCCATAGAATAAAAGGGAGTAGCACAACTAAGGAAGGGGGGGGGGAATGGCAGACTGCGTTGTTTGGCGACCCCCATGAAATGGTCGTTCGACCCCAAATGGGGTCCCGACCCACAGGTTGAGAACCACTGTTCCAAAGGAATTGCTTTTTCTGGGGCCAGCAAACAGAATGCATGGAGGGGAGGGTCACTTTTGTGATGGGTTCTTTCTGTGTCCTCTCTTAAAGCAAACTGAAAACCATGAAAGCATCACTCAGACGTAAATCCCACTAGGCTGTGGTCTCAGAAGCCTCAGGTAGTTCAGAGCCAGCAAGTATGAAATGGAGAATGTGCTTTGGGGTGCATTGCACATTTTTTTTTAGTGTTACCGCTGTAAACCCTTCTTAAAGTTAATTCTGTATAAATGATTTTTTAAAAAAAAGAACCAGGTTGTGTAGAAGTTTGCATAGAAGAAGGTGCCAGGTCAGATGATTTAACGAGCATCATTTGCTTCTCTTCTATAGAGTAGGTCTTATGATTCTGGCTAACGTACACCTTAGATGGAGAAGAGGGTGGGGGAAGCGGAGAAGAGTATGGATTCTGTGGTGGACAACTGCAGTATATTACAGTATATGGGCCATATTTATCTTTCTTTTTTTAACTCGTGGCAAAGCAGCAAGCCAAAGTTAAGCATCCAGATATAACCTGGATATTTCTCTTACACAGTGTGGGAGGAGAGCTGTGTTAGTTTATGGTAGCAAGAAATCAGAATGGTTCTGGAAGCAGGGATAATTATTTTTATCCAAATGCACAAGCTTCTCATGAGGTGCCTAAAGGTTGCATGATCTGCCTTTTAATAACATTAGTGAGGGCTAACATTTTCCTCCTTACTTTTCACCCATATACAACATATACTGAATTTTGTCAACAGGGAAGAACCTGTTTCTGTGCTGGTCTGAGGTAGTACTTCCCTAAATGTTTACTCCAAAGTAAATACCAATAAAGTCAGCTCTTGGTATTTGGTATGTGATGCTGCACAATGGATCCAAGCCAAGCCAAGGAAGCAATTACCACATCGCACAGTTTTGAGGGGCGGGGGAAAGAGTTACCATTCCCAATAAAATAGAATTATATCCACGGGCAGTTAAATTGAGAATAATATTATTTAACATCGAGTGAAAACAAAAATCTTCCTGATTCTGGTAGGAAAGTCAAAGGTGTTACAGTCTTCCAACTGAAAGAAGTGGGACGCATCCAAGGGGATAGATAGTGCCAGGACGTTCTGTAAAGCCAAAGCATAGGCAAACATATAGATATATATTTCTATTTTTTTTATAAAAAAAACCCCCACAACTTTATTTCTGCTTCAGTGTCTTTACATAAATAAATAAATAAATATCTCCTGATTTTTCCAGAAAACAATACAGCCGTACCATAATATATTTCAAGAAGGATCATAACAACAACAACAAAAAGAAGCAAAACAGAAAAGAAACCCACAAGTTAAATCCCTTGCGCTCTCTGCCCCAGCTTCCTAGTGAAACGCCTTCCAGCTTCTAAAGAAAACCTGTCAGGAAGCAGGATCTAGAGATTTTACACCCAGAAACCCCCCGAAGGGAAGGTGGGGGAGGGGGGTGGAGAGGAAGAGAAAGATGCCAGGCTCGGAGATAACCAAGCCGTGGGATTTCCCCCCCCCCCCAGACGCCGACAGAGGTAAACCAAGTTGACCTTGACTCTTCCTTGCTCTTCAAAGAAAGAGGGAGGTCAGCCTCCCCTGGCTAATTACGGCATTGTTACTCTCAAGGAAGAAAAGCTGCCTCGGGAAGGGAACCTACGGGGCTCCCCTTAACCAACAGCTCTGGACACAGAGCGCGCTGGGGGCGAGCAGGGGCCGCGGGGCTATTTACATCGGCTCTTATGGGCCACCCTTGTCCATTCCATCCGCGGGAGACCGGACGGCGGCGGCGGCGGCGCCACACCTTAGGGGGTGACGGCGAGTTCTCTCTCGTCCTTGCCCGAGGAAGTCGGGGACATGGGCGAGTCCTCCTCGTCTTCGGAGCACTTGGCCACAGCGGAGAGGGAGGCGCACTTACAGCCGGGGGCGGCCGGTCCCCCGGCGCGATGGGAGCCGCCCTTGCCTTCCTTCTTGTGCTTGACGCGCCGGTTCTGGAACCAGATCTTCACCTGCTTCTCGGAGAGGTTGAGGTAGGTGGCGATCTCGATGCGTCTCAGACGCGACAGGTACATGTTGGAGGCGAACTCCCGCTCCAGCTCCAGCAGCTGCGTGCTGGTAAAGGCGGTGCGCATCCGCTTGCTGCTCGGCAGCTGGCCCGACGTGCTGTCTGCGGGGAGGCAAAGCGGAAAGTCAAGACCGGCAGAACCGAGCCCATTTGGCCCGCGGGCAAGCCAACCCTTCCCCAAAAGGCCCCGAACGAGTAGGGAAGCTTAGCGCGGGCGTGTTTTTACACCGCCACAGCCACGCTCTTTTTATACAGACCGTGCTAGGAATCGTTGTTGCGGTTAGCCAAGAAGGCAGTTATTAAGCCCCTGGATGCAACTAAGCGCCCTTGAGGCGCAGTTTTGACTGAGCTTGGAGCTACGGGAGCGACTATCCGCCTAACCTGCAGGATGGGCATGACAAAGGATCCTACAGAGGATCCCAGTCGGGCACTCCCCCCCCCGCAAAGAGTTCCCCATTACTTGGTAGCTCAAAGTCATTACTCGGAAATGCCTCTACGAGTTGCGGGGGTGGGGGCGGGGGTGAGGGGTAGGTAGGAGGGTCAGGGTAGGTTGACTTCTTTCAACCCGTGAAGGTTCCTTGTAAATACCGTTGGAATGACCGACCAAAGCACTGCGCTCCTTAGAGGTTGTGCAAAAACTGTTTTTCGGGACAGCAGGCTGGACTGTGCGAAGCCTAGAATCTCCCCCTCTGAAAGGGGCAGAACTGAGCTAACCCTCAGCTAACCGTCAAGCGCCGGGCACCGTTCTCTGCCGCAGGCGCCCACCGATTCCCCGAATTCTCAGCCATCTCTGCTGACAATTCAGCTCTCTTTTCCGCAGTCCGGACTTCGTTTCTAGAACTGCGCTGCCACTTAGGTGTGCAATCCGATGCGAACAGTCCATCCCTTTAATCCCATTGACTGCGAAAGTATGGACTTTGGTCGGGGCGTCAAATTACTGCATTTTCTCCCAGGCTGGGATAAAAAAAAAACAGCAAAAGCTCCCTCCAGTCGAACTCGCCTCCTAGGGAATTTATGGAGGTGTCCATGGTTTGGGACAACAGTACAGGAGTGATTGGCCACTGCCTTTTCCGGGATGCTTTCAGACTTTTTATTCTAGCCTACAGCCCCGGAACTCCTGGTGATCGAATGCCAACCAATCTCGCTTCCAGTTCCGAACCCAGAGTGTGCCAGCTGAGCTTCCCATCTGCTGAGACAACTTTCTTTTAAGATCTCCGCTTTGCAGACGTTGGGCAGGAGGGAGCATCTGGTCAGTTTTGTCCCACTCCCTCGCTCCTCTCCCTCCTATTTACAACAACTTCGTTCTCCTGACACCTATTGTGAAATCGCTTTTATTCGGAAGTGTACGGCGGGAACCCACTGTACCCTGCTGCCAAACTAAGCGCCCGTTGCATTTAGACAAGCGAAAACGACCTTCCCAGGGACCGAAGAGCGAGAATCGGTCTCGGCCCACCCTGCTGAGAAGCTTCGGGTGACCTACGGCAAGATGGTCAGCCGTTCCCCAGCCCGCCCCGTGCCCCAAACTACTTACCCACGGAGATGCAGTGGAAGTGTCGGGGGTCGGGCAGCGAGTAGGCGCTCTGGTAGAGGGCGGGTGCGTGGCCCCCGCTGGAGGCGGATGACCCTCCGGGAGACTGCCTGGCAGCCAGGGGCGAAGGGCAGTACTGGGAGCCGAAGGGAGGAAAAGAACCCTTGAGGAGGGGCAGGGCGGGCGGCGGCGGGGGCGGCGGGTGCAGCTGAGAAGCGGCGGCCACGCAGAGGGGGCACACGCAGAGTAGGCCGGCTTTGCGCGCAGCCGACGTGGCCACGGGAGCCGCGGGACAGGCGCCTCCGGAAAGGCCGTGCAGTGGATGCGAGGGGTGTACGGCATAGGGAAAGAGCGGCGGGGGCGGCGGGCTGCCGGGAGAGACGCTTCCTTTCTTGTCGCTGCCGCCGGCTTCGCGCAGCACCAGCGAGTCCACCAGAAAAGACCGCGGCATGACTCGGCCCCGTCCAGCCTCGTCCTCGCCTTCCGCTGGGTTCGTCGGCGCAGCGCCTCTTGCCCGCGCAGTTGTTCGCAGGGCGCTGACCAGCGCCAGTGGTGCTGAAAGGGCCGCGCGGCCCGGTTTAAATAGCGTCTTTGGGGGCCATGTGATGAAAGCTGCGCCGGCCCCCGTCAATAGGCTTTTTGTGCCGTGCCTTGGCACCGCCGCTGCACACTCCCTCATTATGCCCCTTGTTCGCCCAAAGCGCTTCACAATGTCCCTCATTCTTGTCAACCCCACCCACGTTTCTGGGCTGCCTTCCCTAGTCCCCCCCCCCACCCTCCTCCTCCCTCGTCCCGCCGCTAATCCATTGGCTCCTTCGTCTCCAGCCCCTGTTGCGCTTCGGACGGGTCGTACAGTTTCCTACTATGCGCTGCGGTGGAGGTGCGGGATTTCAAAGAGCCTCAAATCTTGGGTAGTGGTGTTGACTTTTGTGAAGATTGGACCAGTGCATCAGCAGTGAGTTACACCTTGTAACGTTAAAAACATTCATAGACTCTGGAAGGAAGAGCATTTTCATCTGATGCTGAGTTGAAAGCAGAAGTGAACAGGTCTGTAACTAAATCAACAGCCTTCGTTCCCAGCAATGCTACAGGCACTTGGCAAATCTATGGAATTTGCTTCTATGAAAGCCTATGTCCTCAGAACATAACTACCATTGCTTGATTATAAAATCCATCTATTTCGAATGTTTTGTTGGCATTTGATTTTCAAGCAAGTGGATGTTAAATAGCAGATTTGGTTGAAAATTTCTTTATAAAAAGTTGGAGAGATATCTAAAATTATTTATTTGTGGTTGAGCCCAGCTAATTTCCAATATCCATGCTTAAAATTACAGTGTTATGGAAATTAAAAAAAAACTATTCTCTTTGATTTCCTATTAACCTCTTTTTTCAAGTTGCATTTATATTGAAACATACTTTGAACTAAACCTAGTAATGGACATTTACCTCCTCTGAAACAATTTGTGTTTATTAGTCCACCTTGATTTCACCAATTTAATAATCAAAAAAATCTCCAACCTATATTTTACAGTAAAAATTTGGGTGAGGGCAGCATGATAGATGCTTTTTGACAGATAGTATCACAATTTAAAAATCAGAGCAGAAAGTAAATGAGATATTTTATTATTGTAAAAATACCATTTATACTTGGGGAGAGGGTAGAATTCCAGCTGCCATAATTCTGTCCAAATGATAGAATGGGGTATAAATGTTGTTAAGATTTGATCACAGCCCAGGGTTCTGATTTTTAATTTTTTAATGTCACATTTAATGTGTAACATATTTAATGTAAATAAATACATTTATATCACATTTAATATGTAGTATTTTGTTTGGAATTATCTGGCAAATGTTCATTTTATTATTGTCTATCTACTCATGTTTATGCAAGTTTTTAAGTAGTAAAATAAATATCTACCAAAATAGTAAACAACATGTTAATTAACAGAGAAGTTCATGATTCCATAGAATCTGAAACAGAATGGAGAAGAGCAAAGTCCAAGAGAATAAAAGACACAATTAGCAGCATTATTTAACTGGGGATGAAGATTAATGGCTTAAAAATAAAATCTTATGCAACAACAGTGATCCTTTTGTCACTATTAATACTTATGTAAATATGGACTATCCTACCTAGGCTCACTATAGCTTTAAAAATGTAAAGCCAAAGTGCTGCTTCTCCCTGCAGGAATCACCACGCCCAGTTTTTTTTTTTTAAAAAAGGAAGCCAATTCAGAGAGCTTTCTTTCTAAGTAGTCTCATTTTGGGAAGACAAGGTTGCAGCATTACTTCAAAACCAAGAATCTGGAATATTTTCCCACAAAACAATTTTATGAAAGGGATGAAATTCACAGCAATTTCAGCCACAGCATTGTGCTCACCTTCTCCTTTGGTGGGAATCCTCCATTTCCTAGAAACAAGTCCCTTGATTTATTGAAGGGATTGCAATGTTAGGATGTTTCCCAATGCAGTCCAGCCTCTACATACCCTCCTTCCTATCCATTTCCAGAATCAGGTCTCCAAAATGATTTAGCATGCATAAAAGAAAATCGTCCAACTTCCCGGTAACTCAAAAGCAATGAATGTCTTCCCTGCATATCAAGGATAAAAAACGATGCTACTCCAGCAGACATATTCAAATAATGAGCAAAGGAAGAGAGACACTCCTCTCCCCCCACACACACCCCATTCATTTTGATACCAGTTACCACAGATTCTGGAGATTCAAATGTAAGATCTCAGAGAAGAGGGGTGAGGAACAGAATTTGTGGGGTGATCAATTTTATTTTTAAGAGACAACGGCAAATATCGTATCTCCAATGCATATCTTTAAAACTATGGCAATGAAAAGCATGACTAAGAGCTAGGATGTTCATACTATTAAATGCACTATTTGGCAATGCTGATCTATTTAGCTGAATCAAGCAGAGAGATTGAAGTACCTTGACAGTAAGTAAGCTTTAGTCTCTCTCTCCTGTTGCCAAGATCTCTATTTTTGGGAGGTCCCAGCCAATGAAAGGATCTTTATAAAATTATCTACTAGAGACTCAGAATCAGACCTGATTTTTCTGCATATCATACCAATGAATGAGGGTCAGTGAGATATTGTCCATCATGTAGGTACTGCACAGCATTTAGATGCAGATCTGTTTTGGGGAAAAAATGACATGGATATTGCAGTATTATTTGAGTGCCATTGGTCATTGCAACCATGGGGCCTTCAATGTATTAGACATCACTCCTGAATGTGTAAGGATGCTTATGTCGTGGTTCAGAGATATGAAAGAGAACATGTCATCCACCAGATGTCTGAGTCTGAAGAGACTGTTAGAAACATACAGCAACTGGTTCCTAAGCAAAATCTAACTGGAAATCCATAAAAAAAAATCACCTTCTTTTTTTCCAAGCAAGTCTGAATTGATCATTACATGCTATTATCCCCAAACATAATAACTGCAATATGTTTTGGAGCAAACTTTCAGGTATATTTGGACATTAAATCAAATCCACATATAACAGAAGACACAACTTGAATGGAAAAAATGCACTTATCTGTTCAAAGCCAAGAGAAATTAAAGTCTTTTCTGATACTTTCATCTGCCTTCTCTTATCTTTGCTGTTTAAAATTGCCAACTCTCCAATGTGCTTATTTTAACAGAGAATGTTGCAAAGTTTCACTGGCCATAATTCAGCAGTTTTGAATAACACCCCTTTGCAGAGGAAAATTAGTTATCTATTTGAATATTTCCCACTGAAATCAATGAGACTTAAGGTCTAACATTGCTGGACTGAACCCACTGCTGTAAAGGAGAAATGGGAAAGATGACAGAAATACCAATGAACAGTGAGACTTACTAAGGGAGTTAGAAAGTTGTACGATTGAGTTTTGCACCTAGTCTGAAAGCAATCATATAACTAAATTTGAATGTATAATTATTAGTCCCTAGGCATATCCTGAGACAAACTATTAAATCGGAATCACACAACTTCAGCCTGTTGTCTTCTGAATGGTTGTTGTGCAGTCTGATGCAAAATCTTCTCAGAGATGATCTGGTCAAATATAGTTCCTAATCAGTGTCTCTCCTTTTGAGAATCCTCAAGAAAGGATACATTCTTTACAACTTTATCTTGTTTTTTTTTTTTATGCGTGGATGCCTGCTTGCTTTTATTTTGGGCATAGACCAGCATAGATATGTAAATGCAGTTTCCCCACAACTTCATACAGATCTGAAACATACTTTTTTGGAAATAAGTTTCAGAAATTATGTTGAACTGAACTTTTAAAATAAATACATCTAGAATTCAAGAACTGCGTTTTTCACTTTCCTTTTTCTGTAAAGACAAAGATGGGCCAGGAAAATAAGGCCATGGACTGTAGAGATTTTTTTCTAAGTACCAAATAACCATTCTAAGGAAAAGGGTGCTATAGCACCGAAAACCCCTGGCTAAACTATTCATGAATAGTTGGAATAAAGAGAAAATTTGGTCTTGTTCTATACAGCTGTTGTCTTCCAGATATATTGGTAGAGAACAATATGCATCTTGTCCCAGTTTTTTCCATATTAATTGAGGGTAAAGAGAGATAAAAAATAGCAGCACATCTGTAAAGTCTCAGTTAGGGAAACCCTTTTGAATCAAGTCTAAGCATTGTTTTTTTTTTTAGTGGAATGAGCTATTCCTCTTAGACAATTGACTTTTCTAGAAAGTCATCCTAAAGTATTGCTGTACTTTCAGGATGGAACCCCAATCTATTAGCTCCAGGAGGGAAGGAGTTAACCCTTCTGAATGCAGACCAAGCCCAAAGCTATTGGGAAGAATATGAAGGGGAGAATAACCAGTCCCCCCCCCCCTTGTGCTCGCTCCCTCCAGCCGCTGGACTTTATTGAATGTCGCTGAAAAAAGTTTTGAATGCCAGATAAAGGGAGGCGAATTAAACTGTGTGACAGCAGAGGATAAGCAAACACAAAGGAAACTCTGTCACACTTTGGCCAAAATCCATGGGCTTTTTACCAAGCCTCTTTGCTATGATTGAATTAAGTAATAGGAAAACATTTTCTTTCAGTTTAGAGCCATTAAACAAAAACTTCAAAGCCAAGAGCACTTTTTAATGTGCAGTCCCGGGACAATGAAATCTCTGGTTTGCGGTGAAATATTGGAAATGGCTTCTTGTGCAAATTCTTGAACTCCTTGAAGAAGGGAGGAGAAGAGGGATCACAGGAAAACAGGCACTCTTTCTCTTGTCTTGATTTTGGAAGACTATCTGAGCTCTTGAAAGACAGGAATGGAGATGGAAGGATCCTTTAAAGGGCCTGGATATGGGATATGGCATCAAAATGGAACCACAAGAATTCTAAATCTGCAGACAGCAAGGACCACAGAAATGGTGCTTTGCTTGTCCTGAGATTACTTAGTACTGTTGTACTCCCCCCCCCATTCTCACCCAAAAAAAGCAGGTGCATCATCTGGAGGTGGCACTAGAACCATAGTCATCAATGGAGGTACAAGTAAGCTTAATTGGAAGGAGTGCCTTCTTCCAGTTCTGATTGGTGGGACAATAACAGCTGCTTTTAGATAGGGCTAGACCAGGAGGAGGAGGAGGGAGAGGTGGCT